GTTAAAAGTCATGTAAAATGGATTAACATAATCATTATCATTTTGAAAAACATATTTTACAAGTCCAAAACAGATTGGGATAATGATTCTAATCCATTTTCAGCAACAAAAACTCGAAAAATCTGCCCAGCTCGATCCTACTCGGCGAGTGCATTATCCTACTTGACGAGTAGGATGAATTTGCTCATGGACTCGACGAGTCCTCCTCATGGACTCGGCGAGTACAGTCGTCAGAATGCAGAATTTTCGTTTTTCAAGCAGTTTTGCATCAAGTATACAGAAAACTATCCTAGGCTTTGATACCACTGATGGGTTTTGAGCATTCTAACACTTCCTAAGTGTACATGCAACCCTAATAACCTTGAATCTATGTTTTCTCTATATACATGCAAATTTCTTTTTCAAGGTTATTTCCTAACTAGCATGGCATGGGGATTACATAAAACATAAAACTAGTAGAAATACATACCTTGTTGTTGCTTGGATTCCTTCAAGACTTTATGAGCCTAGCACCCCAAATGTTGTGCCTCAAATGCTTCACACAACACCACAAAACTTGGAATAACTTGAGAGAATACTTGTAGCACTCAAAATCGGTTATGCCCTCTCTAGTAACCTCTTAGGTCCGATTTTACTAGACAAAGGGTTCCTTTTATAGTGGTGTCACAATTAGGGTTTCATTAAGAAGACCCATAATTATCACGACTCTTCATTTCTCATGACCCATGGGTTTGTAACTCCCATGGACTATCCATGGAGCTCCAAATGGTTACATCCATAACCCATAAACCATGGATCATTAATCCACCATAAAAGAATTTATGATTGTCATAATCAACCCTTACATATTTAATTAGTTTCACTTTGATCACCAAATTAATACTAGATTAATACTTGATCAAATACTAATTAAATAATACTATTATTAATATATTAGAACTTATAATATATTAATAATCATAAGTACCTTATTCTCTCATTTAGTCTATCCAAGTATTGCAATGCCATGCAACCCAAATGGACCATGCCAGGTTGGGTCAAGTTCATACCAAATAAAGTTATGGACTTAGACACTATATCCAACATTTATGTGGATCACAAGAATTTACAATATCTTATGGACAAATCGAACCTGAACATGAGGCAACATAGGTGGTTGGACGTGGTCAAGGATTATGACTGCGAGATCCTTTACCATCTGGGTAAAGCGAATGTGGTAGTGGATGCCTTGAGACGCAAGTAGTTAGATCTTTAGTTTCGGATATGTGTATGAGGATATCCATTGATTCTCCACTTTTGGATTTAATCATAGGGACATAGGCAGAAGGAGTCAGGAAGGAGAACCAGAAACAGGAAAGGATCAAGGCCGAGATCGACAGGTTTGTCATCGATAGTTGGGGACTATTGAACCGGTGTGGTCGGGTTTGGGTTCTACTTTTTGGTGGGATTATGCAGATGGTTTTGGAGGAGGCTCATCAGTCTTGCTTTTTGATATACTCTGGATCCAACAAGATGTACCAGATTTGAGACTAAGTTACTAGTGGTCATATATGAAGAGGGAGATATCGTGTTACGTTGAGAGATGCTTGACCTGTACGATCGTCGGGGCTGAGCATTAGAGGCTTCATGGCAAGCTGCAGCCTTTGGAGGTTCCCATACAGAAGTGGGAATAGATCTCCATGGATTTTATCACCAAGTTACCGAAGACTTTCAAGGGATTTGAAGCTTTATGGGTCATTGTGGATCGATTGACACAGAGTACCCACTTTTTGGCCATTCGGGAGAGCTCCTTGGCCGAACCGTTTGTTGATGTGTATGTTCGAGAGATTGTTACTCATCATGGGGTTCCAGTCTCCATTGTATCAGACCGAGATGTTTGGTTCGCTTCTCGATTTTGGTAGAACTTCCATGAGGAGTTGGGTACGAGGCTACATTTCAGCATTATTTGCCACCTGCAGATCAACGACTAGAGTGAGTGGACCATCTAGATACTTGAGGATATTATGCAGGCTTGTGTTATATATTTTGGTGGGAGTTGGGATTCCTACCTACCTCTTATGGAGTTTTCCAACAAAAACAGTTATCACTCCAGCATTGGTCCCCTGCCTTTTGAGCTCCTATATGGTCGAAGATGCCGTACCCCATTTTCATTGGGGGAGGTTGGTCACAGAGTCAAGGGAAGGATTGAAGTAGTCCTTCTGACTATAGAGCTTATTCAGAAGATCACACAAAGACTATATACAGCTTAGAGTCGGCAAAAGAGTTATGATGACAGGCATCGATCAGAGTTAGAATTTCAGGTTGGCGATATGGTTCTACTGAAGTTCTCACCCTAGAAGGGTATGATACATTTCAGGAAGAAAGGGAAATTGGGTCCATGGAATATTGGATCGTTCCATGTGATCGCCAGGGAAATTTGTAATTTACGTCCAAATTGACTAATGTTTCACTAATTCATGTAAAACTATGTATGGTCATACACAAGCAAACACATAATTAGTTATTGATTATGGATGGGGCTATGTAAAATTTATTTAACAAACACAATTATGGTCATAATTTATGTTCTCCAGCACAGCTAAATTTAATTACTTCAATTACTTATCTAAGATTTGGTCGATCCTAGCTCTAACAATTCAACGGTCACTATATCACTAGGTGTCAAGTTCATGTAATTTAATGGTCACTAAGCTACACAGAACATGAATTCAAGCAATTAAAGTATCAAATATTAACATGCTAGGTAATAATAATCAAACACAAGCACTTAGCCAACTATTAAAATCCATAATTAATTAAACTAATCCACAGAATTAAAGTTTCATCTAGCTAAACAGAAGCAACTAAATTCAGCTAGTCATGGCTGAAATTGCAAACTCAAATCCAATAAATAAGGACATGATCAAAGTGTACCAAATGAAAGTAACGATTATGTTCTTCAATCTCTCGGTCTTCAATCAACTCTCCTTACTTGAATGCTTTTAACTTGGTTTCTCTGATTAAATTTCCGCTAGAAATCTCTCTCTAAACCTCTAATTCCTTCCAATTCACAAATGCTAAGGATTATATATAGTTTTGGTAATTATGCTTCTCATGTCATGAGATATGGCATCTTACGTAGTGATCTTGATTGTCATCCGTATCGAACACAGACTCTGACCTTCTGAATTTCAATCTTCTAGAATCTTGAGGCTCACGTCATCAAAAGTGATTCCTCATGTAGTGAGATTGACTTTTTAGCTAGAATCTTCTCTTTTTAAGCTCCAACCCTCCAAAGTTTCAGTTCTTGTCACTTTTGTTCCTTTATCTTCAAGATTGTTCCTTAAGTAAGCAAAATATAATTCAATCTCATAAGTACCATATATCTTTGCAAATAACCAAAATATTAATCAAAATGCATTAAAATATTGCCTAAAAATATGTATAAATATGGCAATATCAAATACCCCACACTTATCATTTGCTTGCCCTCAAACAAGGCTAATTAATTTTAGGTCAAACTATCATCACGAACATCACATAAGTCAAACCATTTTGAACTCAGCCATTATATCAAGACCTCAATGTCCATATTTATGTCTAAAATCCTAACAACTTCTCTACCATAAATACTTACAATCCTTATGAACCTGCACCCATTAGTTTATACAACACTCATTTTTGCAACCCTCTTGATCAATCCTCAGAAATCTTTCATAACCTCAAGGTATTTTTGTTTAAGCTATCCAAGCATACATAATTTAGAAAAAAATTACAAATTTAGATACCACAATGGAGCTCTTTGGAACTCTTCACTTCTTTGAATAATTGATCTTTGATTTCTTTGAATTCACCACCTTTTTGTTTGTGTTAGGAATAAAATCCTCTTTGATCAATTAGACTCTAACAAGTATAGTATAAGCACAATATGAAAACAAGAACACGAGATGTATCAACAGGTGTCGAATGATTAAACGGCACAACCTCAAAAGAACTCTATTAAGAATTGCTACTGTAGAGGTCATGCTAGGTTACCAAAGTATCAATTAAGAGTTACTAAAATAAGATGCATGCATGAACCATTTATACTCTAACCCTAATAATAACTATGGTTGGACAAGCCCAAAGCGTTTACAAAAATGACTAATAATAAGGCCTAATGACGTAGCACATAAATACTCAAGAATCTCCCCCCTTTGCGTCAATTGAGTCGTAGGCCATCATCCAGTATTCCGCTTCTGCACTTCGTAGATTTTTTGAATGAAGCTCAACAGCATCTTGCGAACTTGGATTTACCACAAAATCATATCCGAAAAGCACTTGACATCGTCCTTGTGGTTGGCCTTAAACTTGGTGATCAGGTCCAATATAAATTCCAGATTGGCTGTGTTTTAGAGATGTTTGTCTTCAAGATAAAAGTATGACTTGCAAAAGTCAGCCCCCGTTCGTTCTCTGGACTGATACACCATGAACCATCCTTCCTTGTATATCTTCCATGGCTTTAACTTTTCTAAGTCTTTCGGAACTTCCTTGGGAACATCAGTTGGCTTCTCCTTCAAAACTGTGGCAATATCCACATCCATCGAACCAACCTCTTGAATCTATGACTTGATCATGAGTTGGAGATGAGACAGCATAGGCTCATACTTATCTTTATCTTGCAGCAGCAAGTTGTATAGAACGATCCATTCATTAGGATTCAAACATGGCAAATCTACAAGGGTGAACTCATAGGCTTGACAAGCTGATCCTCTCACAACCTTGAACTTTTCATTCGGGAAGCGTCAGTCTCGATTGGCCCAGTGACCTTCACAATAACGATTTTATGCGCACTCCAGGTTTCAAACTGGGGCTTCATGTGCTTTAAGTAAAAAATAGAACAGCAGTTGATCAGCATTGTTGTTTGTGAAAGGTGCATTCACAACCTTCACAAAAGCATGGAACAAGAATGCTTTTGGTGTGATTGGAAGATCAAGTTGCGAATCCTATGTATTTTGATGATCAAAAGTGATAACAGGATCTTACCAATATTGGTTGGGTAGCTCCACGGCATCATGCTGAATTTTGTTCAAGGTCCACTTCGAAAATAATAGCATTCTGCTCTTGAGAGTGGTATGAGCTTCCCTTTCTGCTCTTTCCTTCTCTTCAGCCTCTTTGACGATTCGTTGAGTTTCATTAAGTTTAGCATCGCGATCCTTCCGCCTTTTAAGCTCATCTTTATCATGGTCTTCTTCTTCATCGTTATCAATGATAGGCTCTTCTTCAATCAACTTTTCCTTGCCCTTAGGTTCGTTCTTGATGATGGGCTTGGCAAGGACTTTCAGATGTTCTTCCTTAGATGCACCTTCTCCCCCTTGTTTCTGATCAGATGACTGAGGAGAAACACACTGTAGATGATATAACATTGCAAAAACTAGGTTCAACCTCTCTGCAAGATGTTTGTGAATTGTTATGGAGATCATTGAGTCCCTGGTCTCAATGATATCTGAGAGTAGACCAGTGACGTCTGTAATGCAGCTTCGTACAACTACCCACTCAAATATCAGATCCTTGACCCGGTTTTCAGATTTTTGAAGCTTTTGATCCAAGACTTTGACCTTCTCTGTCTTTTTGGCCAGGGCATCCATGACTTTATTTTCCATCGCTAAATCATCTTGAAGCTTTCTTATTAGCAAAGTAAGGGATGTTTGGAATGATGCATGGTCTTGCTATAGCTCAGTGCGAATCTTCTCAAGATTGAGCTTTTTAGTCTTGAACATTACCCCCAAGTGCTGAAGGGCTTCATTCGCAGAAGTAGTATTATTGTTGTAGGTTGTTCTATAATTCTCCATGAAAGTAGTTGTGTCAGAGATTAGTTTATCGACTTTTTTAGTAGTGGATTTGCGGAATTCAACAGATTAAAAAAAAATGATGCATTCATCTTTTTAGCATTTTCTTCATGGGCCTTCATTATTCTCTCAAATAATGATTCAACCATTGCTTTTGAATATGAATCAGAAGAGGAAGCCTTGGAGGCTAGCAACAATTGATCAAGCTTCTCATGAATAGCTTTCAGCTTCCCTATCGAAATTGAGGCTTCATCTTCACTATCAGTCCTGATATGGAATTGACTATAAGTGAATCCGCCTAGATCGTCTCCATCACTATCTTCAGCAAATATCATTTTCAGATCATCATTACGAATAGAAGAAAGGGATGAGGAAACAGGGGTAGTCAACACTAAAATTGTAGCCCCCATATCAGATACGTTGACCGAAGCATTAGGAATTGTTGAAGTGATGGGATTAGTAGTGGAAGTGGTTAAGATTGGTGTTGAGATGGGAACCATAGTAGGTTGAGATGAGATAACAGGGGGTGGAAAAGGAGCAATAGTAATGGGAATCGAGGTTGATTTTGGAGAAGGAGGAGGAGAGGGAACTGAGTCATGAACAGATTGAAGTACCTCTCGGTTCGTAGTATCTTCTTCATTGTGAAATGGAGGCTCTTGATTATGAACTTTCTCTACCTCTTCATTACGAACTAGGATTTCCTCCTCATTGCGAATGGGTTGAGTTGTCTCAACACGAACATCTGACTTAGTGTCCGAATTTGACTCTTCGCTAGCAGAGGGAGTAGGAGTCTTCCGTTTGCGAGCCGGTTGTTTTCTTCTCTTTGGAACAGTCGTAGAGGATGTTGTGGGTGGGTTTCACTTTTTAGGAGAAGGTTTTGTGGCACCAGACGGACCTTCAGCTTTCTTAACCTCTTTTTTTGACCCCTTTCCACCTTTCTTTCATTTATAAGCGGTATCAAGAAGTGCCTGCATTTCTGGAGTAAGTGGCCTAAACCCCGAAGGTGAAAGTTTATGGAACCCTTCCAAGAGTTTACTTGAAGCAGGAACATCTTGAAACATGACTTCATGGATAGATCCAATGAATGAGCACTTTGATGGATCGGCAAAAATAATCCCTGTTGTATAAAGGGTGGAAACTGTGAAGGCTAGGGCATCCTGAATTAGGGGAATGTTGTGCTTAATAATGGCCCTACGAACTATTAGAGACCAAAACCTTGCACAAGAAATCTATGTATGATGAGACATGGAGACAGTGCTTTGAAACACCTTATCCCATAGAACAGCTCCATAATCGATGTTCATTCTTGTGCAGATCCCATAGATGAGGGTTGTGAATAACTTACTTGCACAGTCGGATCCTGTAATTCTTTCAGAAAAGCTTTTGAACAAGATCGTAAATAAAGCATTCCATTGGGGAGGAAGGTTGGGCTTGCGGAATTTAAAGAGTGTAGAAAAAGACTCCTTGTATCCCATTTGATAAAACATCTCCAGGAGAGCAGCATTAGAGATTGTTTCAGGATTAATCATATCCTCTTACTATGGAAGCCCTAGAAGGGAACAAAATCTAGGTTTGGTGATGGAGGTTTTCTGATCATGAATGTCAAAAACAATCTTATTATCCGTACTAATGTAGCTTGCAGAAGAATATTCCCTTGAAAGAAGAGACATTGGAACATCCCCCATTTTGGTTAGGGCATGAACCAGTGGTGAATACTTGAGACACTCGATCATGTATAGAAGATACGAATCAGATTTGTAGGATTCATATCGATCAGAAGATTTCGATTAGGTTTGACCGCCAGTAGAGAAGAATGAATAGTTTGATCTTGAACTAATGATGAAGTCGCCTTTTTTGAAGGTTTGAGGAAGATGATGAACAGTAGAGAGCGATTTGTTTGTCGGATATCTTTGTAAAAGATTTTGAGAGTGATAATGAGACAGAAAGCATCGGGTACTGAAACTTAACCTAAAAAAGCATGAATTGACAACTGTAGATGTCAGACTCATGCGTCATACGACGAAAAAATAGTTGTTCCTTTAAAATTATTCATGCGCCCTTTTTAATTCTTATCATCTTAATTTTCCTTGTCATCATCCACCTTTCACAGTTACATATTCGTTGTGTAACTCTTACGAATCTTTGTCTTTTTGAAAAGAAGGTTAAACTATGAACCTAAAATAATATTGCATAGAACCACTAATAAGACTTTTAGAAGATCATGAGGATCTTCGTACACGAGTGTCAAAGATAAAGGAATAAATCAAGAATTTTAGGGAAAGTGTGTGATGTCTATATAATGAAACAAATCAGTGAATCCCAGGAAAAGATTGCTTTCTTCAAATAAAAGAAAGACTAAGAAGTGTCTGTGTGGTTTCCCGTTAAAATATGATCAGATGTCATATAAGAAACACTAAAAGGCTTCTTTTATTTTGGCTAATTGGGTGAAAAACTCTCCAAACATATACAATGAACTTTATATAAGAAAGAATCTTGGATGGAGTACTCGTGTGACCAGTGTAGTCAGTTGAACGAATAGGTTCATAGTTATAGCAGTGACAGGATAAAACTTTGAAATCTCAATTAATAGTTAAAACTGGATCCTTTGGGAAGAAGTGACTTGGTAATAGAACACTTCACAAAGATCACACAAAAGGAATGAGATTTTGAGGTACAAACCACGAAAGTGGCGCTCGTTAATTTGTGGGTGAAAAGTTAGAACTTTCAATGGTTCACCGTCAATTCATTATGGTGTTGGATTTTGGGTCTCACTTTGTGACATCCCCAAAATCACGGCCAGAAAAGACCGGTTTTGTTTATACTTTATTTCAAAATCAGAGTTATCTTTTAATAAAAGGGTTGCGGAATTTGTCCCAAAACAATAATATGATAAAGATTTATCAAAAGCATTTCCATAGAAATGTATTTCATTAAAAGACTTGGGATGTCATGTTCGTATAGATCAAAAGTATAAACAGTACAATATAAGCCTTACTACATTATTTCATATCTACAGGCCTATATCCGTAATCCCTCGTCCAAAACATCACACCTATGCTCATGCGCCACTACCTGTAATACATAAAACTGAGTGGGTCACGCTTGGGAGCCTGGTGAGCACATAGGGTTTTCAACCCACAATAAATAAGTTTATTAATTTCATCAATCAACAATAACCCGATTACCCGTTCCCGTTATCCTCACTTTACGTCCCTAAACACCTATCATAAGGGACCTAGCCTAAGGATCATCATCCGGACGGACACTACTGCTAAGGGGATTCCTCAACAATAAATGTCCTAATAGGCAACCATGTGGGGGATGGAGTACACCGGTGAACACATCGTTCACAACACCTACAGGTTGCGAGCCTGCTAGTGTTCCACTGGACTGTCTAGAAGAGTCTGTGGTCGTCATCTATACTCCGCTAGATGACTGGATCAACAACAACAACATCGAGGCCTCTCATCATTTTATCACACATCACCTATTACATCTACCCATGTTTTACCCCAACATTTTCGTAGATATAAAATACATATACAGTTTAAATCATTGAAAACATGTATAACAACGTTCATCTAGCATAGATAGCAAGTATTCAGATAATATGCACACATAGCACGCAATTTATATAAAATACTTCATATCTATGTGTAAGTTGAAAGTAACTATGCACTCACCTGATTAGGTGGTGACTCAGCACTCGGACTGCGCTTCGATACTCTCAAAATGATATTCCTTCGATAAAACCTAGTATCGATACCACTAGGGTTTAGTCTAATGATAACCGTGACAAATTAATTGTCTGAGTATTATTAAGCATTAATAATACTCGATATATCTCATAATAATAGCCCAAATAATTATTTTAAGGACCTAATAATATTCCTATAATTATTTGAAAGCTATATTAAAAATTGCATAAGCGTAGCATACTTACAGCGAATTTTAGCGAAAACCGGGACTTAATTGGAGCAGCGTTTCGAAACCGAAAAACTCCTTTTTCTCGGGACTCCGGGAGCCTCGGGGCTTCCTTAGGGTGCTAGGGGTTTAACTAGGGCTTAGGGGTGGTTTGGAACCTTAGAGAGAGAAAGAAACTAGAGAGAGAATGAGAAATGGTGTGAAAAATGAGGGCACCTTCGGCCCCCTTTTATAGGCGCGAGGGCCTTGGATACGCGGCGCGTCCAGCAGCGCTACGCGGGGCGTAGCTCGGAGGTGGCTGCTAGCTCGCAACAGCTGGCTCGCACTCGGACTCGGACGGATAAGGCCGAAGGTACGCGGGGCGTAATGCGAGTCGTCGTGGCGCGATCCGGAGCGAAGCCTTGGTCAGCAAGCAACGGCTCAGAAGCGGCCACGTCATCATCTTCGCAACAGGTTTCGCATTTTCGAGTCCTAACTTCAAAAATTCGTAACTTTCGCATACGAGCTCCGTTTTTGACGTTCTTTATATCCACGCGAAGGTGGGAACATACTCTACAACTTTTATTTAGACTTCGTTGGCTAATTTTGACTCGATTTTAAATTTTATTTTATCAACGGGTCGGGATAGGATTGGTCTGTTAAATCCTCATAACTTCTTCATCCGACATCCGTTTTTGCCCATATTTTTCTCGTTACGTTACTCTTAACGAGATCTTCAATTCTCGTTTAGGTCATGTCGGCTAAAAACCGCTCGATCAAACATTTGAATTTCGGGCAGTACACTGCTAGTCCGAAACTTCGAAAAATCGTAACTTCTTCATACGAAGTCAGATTTGGGCGTTCTTTTTATCGATGTTCTTAGTTTAACATATTCTACGGCTTTTGTTTATATTTCTAAGGCTAAAAAGTCTTCTATCGTAAATTCACTATTTTATGTCTTCCGGTGCCGTGTCGGTTTTGCCGTAAAACTTCGGCGGGTCATAACTTCTTCGTTATAGCTCGGATTTCGGCATTCTTTATATGTACGGAAACCTTGAGACATATTCTACAACTTTATGTAGAGATATCGGGATTATCTCACACTTTAATTTTGACGCTCATTTTTATTCTTTATTAATTATACATTTATAATTAAATAATAAACACATAAACACACATAATTCACATAATACTCAAATATTTCATATTTATTACTTCAAAAAGAGTTACAATAGTTGACCTAGACTATTACATTGACAAAAATGCTTAGCTCTGAAACCCGGGCGTTACACACTTGGCCCGTGGTGAAACAAAACTAAGATTATCAACACAGACGTTGTGTAACCATAAACCTCAGTGGTAAATGTTGAGAATATCAAGGGTTACACTGATGAAAACAAAATTAATGGAGAAATTAGGAGGTGGTTCCAGAGAAAGCGAATGTACCTCTGCTGAACAAGTGTGACCAAGAAGATAACTCATAACTCAATGTGAGAAGAGTAAGGTAGCTCATGACCAATGTGAATTTTGTAGCCTGATTGGGAAGAAACGAATGGTAGATTTGATTCATTAAGGCTTCACATAGAGTCGATAGAGGCTTTGGACAACATGCAGCAGCATGCTTCTACGGACACTTAACTAATACAATGGAAAAGAATATTATACCTGCTCCAGTTCATGAATCACGGACATGATCCTTGAGTTTTATGGTTTTCTGATGTTTTTGGAATTTTATGACATGCAAAAAATATAAGAACAAGAAAATAAAATACAAAGAAACATATTTTTGAATTTTGTTTTTATAAAAAGAAAATAAACAGAAATAAATATAATATTTTTGGATTTTTGGACTTTATGAAAAAGAAATAATAATAGAAAAGATGTGAAATAAAGACAAGCAAAAATATACAAAAAGTACAAAATGATATAAGAAACCAAACCACGAATGAACAATGAACAACGAACTCCTACCAACATTCGCAACGATTCGCAACAATAAAGAAAACAGAATGAAATTTTTTTTGTGAGAGACTGTGAGCATTCGCACCAATTCGCAGCTACTTCTTTATTAGTGCGAAGGTGGTTTTGGTACCAATTCAGTTTCCATCATTCCTAGCCCTTGAAGGACTCTATTAAAGGTTGTTTCAGGAAGAGCCTTAGTAAATATGTTAGCCAATTGATCAGCGGATTTTACGAAATGTATCTCAACATTGCCATCTTCCACATGATCCTTGATGAAGTGATACCTTAGTGCTATATGTTTTGTCATGGAGTGTTGCACTGGGTTGTGAAAAATGTGAATTGCACTTTCGGAGTCACAATAAGGTGGGATTCATTTCATACTTAAGCCATAGTCACGAAGCTAGATTTGAATCCAAATAACCTGGGATGTGCACGAAGCTACAACTATGTATTCAGCCTCAGCTGTTGAGAACGAAACACACGTTTGCTTCTTGGATTTCCAACTAACTAGTTTTCCATCAAGAAATTGGCATCCACAAATTGTGCTTTTTCTATCTAAACCACATCCCCTAGGTCAGCATCAGAGAATGCTTGCACGAGAAATCCTAAG